TCGCTCGTCGCTCGTCGATCATCGTCGTCGCGCGCGCGGGCGCGGGCGTGGTGCCGGGACCACGCGGCGGGCTTTGCGCTTGTACTCGAATCGCAAGCCACTGTGGTGCTCTCAGGCAGAGAGTGCTGCTCGCGCGCATACTATGGCGATCGCAGAGCGCCCCTGCTTCGCCATACCCCGCCCAGCCCAAGCGTTACCGTTACCCGGGGGGCACGACCCCCCCCCCCCCGGGTAACGAGCGTTACCGGCCGGAATAAAGAAATGATCTCTCCCGGCGCGCCTTCTGCCCCCCCGCGCGGAGAGATGCGCGAGCTGCGCGATCGCCTCGAGCCCCGCGTACAACAGCGTGCGTGCAACAGGACCTCTACTGCAAGCTGCAACGCCTCCTTCGTTCCCAACTGGAAGATGCCCTTAAAGTTGTCCCCCGGGTCCGCGCGATTGAGCACAGCGTGCGCTGGGCGCATGTTGCGAGGGCCCAGACCTGCCGGCTGGGCACCACTTCGGTGGACGAGCGCGGCCCCTTGGCTGCTGAAGCGCAGGCCGCGATGGCGGCAATGGTCCACGCGCACGGAGAACTCTCCGCAGTCTCTCTCGATCGAGATGCTGAGAAGGCACTGTCTTCAGATGTTCTGGCCCGTTTGGACAGGCAGCAGAGGGAGATCCGCGAGTTAGGCATTCTGACCCTCGCCCTTGCAAGTTGAAAGACAGCGCGACTGGCGTTCCAAGCGCGCCGACGACATCCTGGGAGAAGCTCGCGGCTTCGAGCTCTGTGTGGGCCGGCTGCAGCAGGGGTCTGCGCGCCGCGATTCTTCCTGTCCAGCAACGTCGCACGCTGCGGCGCCAACGCCCAACAGCTGGTTGACCCGCCGTCGCGGCGTATTTCACCAGGCGCAGGTTCTGCATCTGCTGCCCCCATACCTCGCGCGTCGCCTGCCCCGCAGGCAGGGCCCGCATCTGGCAGACCTTCGCATGAGGCCCCTGACCATGCTGGCTACAGATCACGCTCGCCGTGCCAGTCCCTTCACAATTCACTGTCGGCGATTTCCCGATCGCGGCCACGCCGACCAGGGAGTCGGAACGCATGCGCGCGCCCCTCCCGCCGCATATCAACCAGATGCTCGAGTGGCAACAGAAGGTGTGCAAGGGATTTGGCGGCGCCTCCAGGCGCCCCCCCCGCGCGCGCAAGTTCATTTGCGTCGCGGAACAGCCCGGCCTAAAGACGGGAGGTCTGCAAGACAGCGGTGATCCGAGAGCATCGATTGTAAGCTTGCGGAGGCTCTCGCAGAGGTAGCGTCTTGCTTGCTACGTCGCGATGTCAAGTTATTCGAGAACCGGGGGCGCAAACGCGTCAGCATTCTGAAGGGCAGCCAGGTCTAGTGGGTCATCTTGAAGTCCTACAAGGTCACAGGGGCCGAGTTTTCCATCCGCGACTTCGAACAAATCAGCGCCCTGCACAGCCGTGACGGTGACCTAGAAGGGTTTGTCGTCGAGTGGGACAACCTATTGTTTGACCATCGCGGATCTCCCCCCACGCAGATCTTGGAATCGCTGTTCCGCTCGCAGGTCCAGGAAACGACGCCAGCGGGTGACGCTGGGCATGGCGGGATACACCAGGTTCAGAGCTCGAGATCCGAAGGCAACTCACGAGTGGCTTCGTGGACGCGTCAAAGACAATATTGAATTTTACCGCTTGCAGAATAACCAGAACAGACTCCGCGGGCCCGCTGGTCAGAGTCCTGCTCTGGCTCTGCGCGTTTCCTTCGAGCAGCGCGGCAAGTGCAAGTGCGGCGCCAGGTGAGCACTATTGAACGCCAGTGCCAAACCTACGTGATTGCGCTCTACGCGCTCGCACGCGGTTCACCCTGACGTAGACCAACCCGCGGCAGCGCACCAGGAGCCTTGGTGCCGTTAACTTCTGCTTCTCGTTTGAAAGGACTGGAGGCAGCAGCTACGGCGACGCGCGCGAGCTCCTTCGACAGCAACGCCCGCGACAGAGGCGACGCGTGCCCTCGTGCGCGCGCGGCGCCGGAGAGTCCGGGAGGCACCCGTGCGCAGCCTTCCCAGTCACGGCCCCCCTCTAGCGAGGACTGGGGGCAGCCGCCACGGCGACGCGCGCGAGTGCCCGCGCACCGATTTGTGCAGCTTTTTCGACAGCAGCGCCCGCGACTGAGGCGACGCGTGCCCCGGTGCCCTCGCGCGCGCGCGACGCCAGAGAGTCCGGGGGCACTCGTGCGCGGCCTTCCCAGTCACGGCCCCCCTCTAGCGACTCCCTTTGCAGTTCCTTGAGCGGGCGCGCCCTGTCCCGCGGATCGCGGAGGAGAAGCTCGAGCGGCGCCGAGCGCGGCCCCACTGTCCACTGCAGAGCGCGGTCTCCCGCAGCGGTTCCAGCGAAGAGCAGGCAATGGCACCGCGGTCAGGCACTCGCGTGCCAACCAGAGACATTTGTCTTGGTTTGGCTGCCCCTGAACGCAGGCGTAAAATGGTCCGATGAAATCTTGGTGACACCGAGATGTACGCCTACACGGTGAACGCCGAGATGCGCCGCTATTTGGGGCAGCCGAACGGCCGTCGCGCCGTCGACGTCTACGACCCCGAGGTCAGGTCCCGACTGCTGCATAGTTCTGAGATTGGATTGCTGGGGGCTCAGCACGCCGCGTGCGCCTTGTACCTGCTATGTGACGAGAAGATCGTCGCTGCTCCTGAAGTGGCCAAGTCGTCGTCGTCGTCCTCGTCCTCGTCCTCGTCCTCGTCCTCGTCATCGTCGTCGCCCCCCCTGGTCTCGCCTCAGCAGCCTGTGGCAACGCCTGCGGGCCTTCCTGCAGAAACAGCTTCTGGCGAGTTCGCCCGCTGTGCTTCCCGCGACGCACGGCCTTCGCAATGCGGGCGGCCGCCCGTGTCCGCGAGAGCTCCCGGAGTCAACCTGGCAAAGTTGGCGGCGGGCTGCCGCCGCGGCGTCTCGCGCAATAGGAGCGCGCGCGGCGGCCAGATGGGGGAGGAGAGGGGGGGGGGCGCAGCATTAGATTTAGGTCGGGCAGCCTATTTGTGACGGAGGCTCGGCGCGGCCAGACAAAACCGTTCGTTCCTTCGTCGCCGCTTCCCGTGATAGCGCGATGACGGAGCTCTATCGGTGAAAAAAATTGTACCCAGTCGATAATCACAGCACGGCGCGCTCTGCGTGCCGATGCACGCCAAGGATGCCCGCGACGACTTTGTGAGGTTGCCATGGAATCTTGGTCGCAGCGCGCCCTGCCAGAGGGTTGGAGAGTTGCGGCATGGGGGCCTTCCTGTCCCCCCCCTCCGCCGTTGCTCTTGCCAGGCGCCCCTGCTCTTTTCTTGCGCGTTTGCTCCCTGCTCCTGCTCCCCTTCCTCTTTCCGCACCCCTGTTGTCTGCGCCCTGGGCGGGGCCTGAAGCTTGCCGTGCTGGGGCGGCAGGAGGCTTCCTCTTTTCCTCCTCCTCCTCCTCCTCCTCCTCCTCCTCCTTCTCCTTGTCCTCCTCCTCCTTCTGCTCCTCCTCCTCGTGCTCCTCGTCCTCGTCCTCCTCCTCGCCCTCGTCCTCCTATTGTTTTCCGCCGACGGCCGGGCACCGGCTCTGATCATCGGGACGCGTGGCCAACTGAGCCAAGCGTGCTGAGGGCGCCCAATCCACCCGCCAGCGTGCGCGGCTGCTCTGGACCGGCTGGGCCCGTGTGCTGGCCCGTGTCGGGCCTCGTTGTCCTCCCCTCTCCTGGTGAGCTGGCGCCTCCCCAGTGCCCTTCCTTTCAGTCGGGCGTGGCTTTCTACAGGGGGAACGTTCAAAAATAGACAAAAATTGGCTGGGGACGATTGTTATGTGTATTTATATATATATATATATATATATATATATGTTTTTGTGCCTCTTTTGAGTGCTGGTAGAGTATTTGTTACTTGTCCTTCCACATCCGCCTGTAGGGGCACACGCCCGACCTAACCCTCCCTGTCCTTCCCTTCGCCATCCACCGAAGCTGGCGAAGTTGCGCGTTTCGGCGGCTGCTGCCGTCGAGACCCCGCCAGGTCGTACTTCCGCCCTCGATTGTGCCCCTGTCCTGGAGTTCCTTCCGTCTGTCTGCACATATGGCCCTTCTTCCCCTCTCCAGCTGCTTGCATGCCTGATGCGTATGCCAGTAATGGTTTTCGCTCGTGCTACCTGTTCGTGTCATATCATTCTTCATCACTTTCATCACGCCTTTGAAACCACACCCAACGTATACGCACGAGCCTCAGGTTCGCCTGGCGCACGCACAGGCTCTGGAACTGTCAGCGCTCTTGCGATGTCGGCCTCGGTTTCGGCACTTTCGTTAGCCGTGTGGTTTAATCAGCTGACGGTTGGGCATTGCGCGGGCATTGGAATTCGAGCGTCGTTATTTTCCAGCAGGCCCATGTTTTGGCCGACCAATTAGGCTTCCAGTGTTCTGCGACAAATTGTTCGACATACGCCACGCATTCCAACGAATCTCAACGTCGACTCGTCCTGCATGATCGCTCTTGCTGTTTTCTGCTCTTTCCCACTCCTCCACACTTTTCACTTTCTGTTCCATCTCTCCCCCTCTTCTCCCACTTTCCCTCGCTCCCTCCTCTCTCCTCCGTCCTGTTTTCTCCCTCCTCCCACCGCCTCCCCCCCCTTCCCCCTATCCCCCCCCGCCGCCTCCCTCTTCCGACCTCTGTTTTCCGTTGTTGCTTCTCCCTCCCATCGTCGTCGTCCTCTTCTTTTTCTTCCCTTTCCTCTTTCTCCTCCTCCTCGTCTTCCTCCTCCTCTTCCTCCTCCTCCTCTTCTTCCTTTTTCTCCTCCTCCTCCTCCTCCTCCTCCTCCTCCTCCTCCTCCTCCTCCTCCTCCCCTCCCCCTCCTGCTGCTCCCCTTCCTCTCCTGCTGCTTCCCTCCCCCTCCTGTTCCCCGTCGCGTTCCCGACAGACCCGCCGAGCGCGCGCGCGCGCGCTGGGCGCGACGGCTCACGGCGCGGGCGTCGCCCCGCCCCACCCCGGAGGGAGCTGGACTCGACGCGGCGGGAGGCGGACGCGGCTGCCCGCGAGCACGCCAGCGAGATCGCGGTGCCCAGGGCCCCGCCGCCTTCATTTGTGAGGCTGGACCCGGGCCCTTCTTCGGGTGAAGAAAAAATATCACGACGGGAAGTTTTTCTATGTTCCCGGCCTTTGGGGGCCCTCACCAGGCCTCAGGGCCTTGAAGAAAACGACTTAAAAAACTGGTCCCGGGGAACGGGTCGAGACCTTTGAGGGCGTCGACGTGATGCAAAGGTCGCGACGTCGGGGGTCTGGGAAGCGAGTGCTTTCCGAGCGATGGAAGAGACCTGAGTCGTCTGCGCGTGGGCGCCCTCGTTTCCAGCGTTGCGTTCCGCGCTGGCGGCCCGAGCAAGGCGCCGAGCAGGGTCGCGGCGCCATCCCGCGCACAGTTGGGGCCCATGCCGAGAAACACCCTGCTTGCCTCCATGGTGCCCTGGGTGTCTTGGGTTTCGATGGTCCTGCAATGGAAAGCGCGACGCTCCCACGCGAAAAATCGATGGACGTCCTGTGGTCTCAGTGTTGGGTCTCTCGTGGAAGGTTTCTTGTGGTCGGCCCCTACTGTAAGACCCCGTTATTCTCGTCGTTCGCTTGGGGCTCAGGGGGGGCTCAGGTCTCCAGGCCGTTTCTGAAATCTAGGTCGTGGAACCTGTTCGTGGCCGAGGCTCGGCACAGAAGCCCAGACCTCCGCCCATGTGTTTTTTCTTCAGGCCCGGCGGGCTTCCCTTCGCTTTGGCCTTCAGGAGTTGCCGGGGCCCTTAGAGAAGGATCAGCTGTTCAACAACAATTGCCCGGGCCAGCTGGCCAAGGGCGCCCTCGAGGGCGCGAAGTTATTCGCGCTTCGCGCTTTGCGGTTCGGCTCCGATTCCTCCTCACCCTCCTCTTCTCCCCTGGGAGGCGGCGCGAAAGCGCGAAGCCAAGTCGCGCACCTCGCGCTCCGCGCAGCGCGAAGCGCGAAGTTGGCTGCCTGGCCGGGCCCGTCGGCGGGCGGGCCTCTGGCGTGCCGCCCCCTCGCCGAGCGAGGTGCTGCGGCGCGAGCTGGGCGCGCTGCGGGCGGCGCCGGGCGGCGCCGGTGGCCCGCAGGACCTCGGGCACGCACCTGGGCCGCCCCCCGCCGTGGTCGCGGCTGGGATCGGCGCGCGGCAAGGGGAGGGGGGGGAGTACAGTTATCGAGGGCGGCAAAGAGGCCACCATGGTGTGGGCCATGATATTTCCTCAGATTTCATGGCGCCCCTTCTTATTTCATTACGCTCCTGCCCGCCCCCCCCCCGTGGGCCGCGCACATGCCGCCGGCCATGGCTTGCACCCCCCTCTTGGACGCCCCCCTCTTGGCCGCCCCCGAACTCAGTATCGGTGGCTGCCAAGGTGGGTGATATATGGCCGAACCTAGCTGGCAAGTGGGTTGCAGATGCCCCAGGTGGCTCAGGGGGGCTGCCGATCCGGTCTCAGTGGGGTCCTACCACTCAGCGGAGTTGTCCATAAGCCATTTGGAGCAGTTCTGGCCCGGTTGTAAGCTGGGTGAGGCCAGACAGAATCCACCGTGGAGCCCCCCTTAGCACCCCCCGCGCCGATCCCAGTGGGCAGGGCCGCACGCCAGAGGGGGTGTAACCGCTGGGTTTCTTTGCCGAGGCCCCTCCTTGAGCGTCAACTTAGCTCAGACCTACCGTTTTCTGATCACTGCGCAAGTTCCCACCTCTGATCCGTCATGTGCCAGCTGTGGGGGCCGAAGACGAAGTTGTCGCTGCTCGGGTGTATCGCGCGGCTTCGTTCGCGATGAAGGGCGCCGGCGACGTAGTGTAGGAGCGGTACGGGGAGACGGAGCAGCGATCGTTGCTCCCATCTTCCCGTTGCTGTGGACAAATGACCTTAGATCTCTGACGATCTGATTTTTCAATCCCGCGCGCGTTTCCTTGATCACGGCATCCGGGGGCTGTTTTGGGGCCCAGGGGCTATCAAAAGCATGTCGGGGAAGCAAAACTACCCTTCGGAGAAGGGGTCGGGGCCTCTGGGACCGCGGTTTGAAAAATCAGATCGGAGGATGTGCAGATCTTGTCGCGAAAACATGACAAAACACAGCGGCGGGAGGTTGTCGGCCCTGCTCGGCCTCCAGGGGCCCTCACTGGGCCCTGGAACCGTCAGAAACGACTGGGGACCGAGAGCCGGTCCAGGGCAAGGGGTCTAGAACTCTGGGGGCCCACGCTCTGAAAACAACGTGACGTCTCAAGACGTCGAGGGTCTGCGTAGCGGAAAACGCCGGCATCGCATAACCGGCCGCTCCTTGGAAGTTTGGCGACTGTGAGTGCGCCTTGTTGAAGTCGTCCTGGGTGCGGCACGGGCCCGGCACGAGGGGAGGAGGAGGAGGAGGAGGAGGAGGAGGAGGAGGAGGAGGAGGAGGAGGAGGAGGAGGAGGAGGAGGGAGGAGGGAGGAGGGAGGAGGAGGGAGGAGGATGAGGGGGAGGAAACCGGCGACGAGCCTGGGACGACCGCTAGCATGCGGGCAAGGAATGGGCCGAGGGTGAGGGTGAAGCACGCTGCCTCAAGACGTCGGGGCTGCGCAACGACGGGCCTCCCCTCGGCTGCCTGGCCGCCCGGCCGGGGTCGCAGCTCGGCGCTCTGGGCCCCTTGCCGTGGCCCCCCGTGGCTCGGAGGTCTCGGTATTGCCATTCAGTCAAGCAGGTCCCTCTACAGGAGGAATATTCAGAAATAGGGAAAAGTAGGCTGGGGACGATTTTTCGACTATGTTAGGCTATGTCTGAGCATGCCTTTTTTTGGGGGGGGTATGTTTGATTCGTCGCCCAAGATCCGCCCGCAGGGGGGGCATGCCCGACCTACTATTACCAAGGCGGTGCAGCGACCACACCGTCGGGCGAGCCAGGGGGGAGTCGTGAAAAGCATGACGGACGTTTCTCAGGAGGAGAAAAAACACACAGACACAATTAATCGTCGATCCCCAGGAAAATATAGGAAAATATGGGAAGTGGGGGGGGGAAGACAGAAACCCAGAAAATATGGGAAAATATGGGGGATATTTTTATTTGTGTGTATTTGTTTGTGTGTCCTGGGGCCCCTTCAGTTTCAGTTTGTTTGTTTGCTATGTTCTGTCTCTGAGGGCCCTCGCCCGGCTCCCTGGGGCCGTCATCAGCCGGCTCGGACTCAGAAACCGGTCCTGGAGAGACAGGCTCGAGCCCTCCAGGGGTCGGGGGCGGCAAAGAGGGGGGGATATGACTAGGGGGGGGGTATCATGGCGTGGGCCATGATATTTCCAAGATTTCATGGCGCCTATTCCTATTTCATTACGTCCCTGGCTCCCCCCCCTCCCTGGACCGCGCACGTGCCGCCGACCATGATTTGCACCCCCCCCTCTTGGGCGCGCCCCTCTTGGCCGCCCCCGGAGGGGCCCTCGTCATGAAGAAATATCATGACCTCGGGGGTCTTGGGATGAGCGCACACCTTTGCTCTGCAACCACCAGCTCTGTGCATCCCCAGGGGCGCAGACGGGACGCAATGACAGCGATTCGAAGCAAGCTTCGGCTAAATCTTTCTGGAGACGTGTCGAAGGATACCTGGTGATAAAATGGTCGATGCATGTTGTCTTGGGAGATGGAAGCAGTTTGCCAGGAGTCGCGGCTTCGGGGGTGCAGATGTGTTGTAATTTGCAAGGGGGTGTGCCTTCGGGAGCGCGAGTCTGCAGTTCTGCACGAAGGGTGGTGTTTCTTCGAGCGCGAGTTCGTCGTACCTTAGGAGGGGCCGGGGCCTCGGGAGCGCGAGTCTGCAGTCTGTCCTGTACGTGTCCCAGGGTCCCCCACAGGCTCTGAGGACGGGTTCTGTCGTGGTGCTGCGGCGCCCGTTGGGGCTGGGCTCCTCGCGCATTCTTCAGCAGCCTCCAACTCCCGGAGCCATCACGCTCATAGCTCTCACACTGGGAACCTTCGCACTGGAACTTGCGGAGGGAGCAGGAAACCTGGCCCTCGCAGCCCACCTAATAATAGTAACCACCACCGTCGTCGTCATCCGTAATTAGCCATTTTGGCCCAAGAGCCCGAAGAGAGAGGTAAAGGATTGGCCGATTGACGCCATGGCTTGGATTGACTTCGACGACCTCGACGATATTCCGACGATCCATGCCATCAGCGATCCGCACTGCGAGGCGCCAGCCAACATGGATTGGCTGCGGAGGTTGCCTGCTTGCCCCCTCCATACAGTTGTCGTTGCTGGGGATCTGGCGGTGGACATCTCCCAGATAGAGCAGGCGTTCCGGCTTTTCCTGAGCAAGTACAAGCATGTATTCTACTGCTTCGGGAACCACGAATGCTGGGTGTCCAAGAAGGGACCGTACGCCGATTCCCTCGCGAAGATCGGCGCGGTGCGCGATCTCTGCAGGTCTCTGGGGGTGCGCACAGACACAGCACTTGTAGATGGTGTCTGGATCGTGCCCGTCTTCGGCTGGTACCACAGCTCCTGGGATACGGAGCCCGACCTGGCGGCGCCGCCAGGCGAAAGGCTGAGGCGAGAGCCAGACGCAGCGGCCGACATCTCGAACGACTACGTCTTCTGCAAGTGGGGGGACCTGGAGAATGGAAGCGAGGCGCTCGCGGAGCGCTTAGACAGGGAGAATGAGGCGTGGGGGTCCTGGCCATTGCCACCAGAGCTGGTGGCAGATGCCAGGGAAGCGCCCGGGAATCGACGGAGGCCAATTATATCTTTCTCGCACTTCTTGCCGAGGCTCGAGCTGCTCCCCGAGAAGCGGTTCAGCATGCAGCCCAATTTGGCGAAGTTGATGGGCAGCAATTGGATCCAGGCCCGCGTCGAGCAGCTCAGGCCAGACGTGCACGTGTTTGGCCACACCCACAATTGTTGGGACATGCGCTTGAATGGGACTCGCTACCGGTCGTGGCCCCTGGGCATGCCAATGGGCCGTCTGCATCGCGCCGCTTCTTTCCCGAGCTCTGGCTCGGATGAGATGCTGCCGCTGCCCGTTATGAACGGCTGTAACGAGCAAGCTCCCGAACATGAGCATTGCTTTGCCAGCCGAGTATATGCTTTCCTGGACAGGGACCCCTCGTCGTACGTCATGTCTCACCGGGTCGCGGCGAGGTATTGTCCCAGCGCGCCTGTGCTGTTCGACGACGTCGTCATGCCAGGGCGCAGATATCCCTGGGATCTCGTGAGGGACCAGGCTGAGCGCGATCGGATGTCGGGGAACAACACATTGCATCAACATAAACTGTCGGAAGTCCGCGCTCACTTCTCGGATCGGCGCTGGACCCCCCTCCCTCCCTGGCGCGCGGAGCGCGCCAGGGGTGGTGCCGGAAGCGCCGCCAGGGGGCCCAGGGCCGATCCGAGATATCCGCGCGGACCTTTGGACGTTTTTGCTCGTGTGGCGTTTTGTTCCTCGAGGATGATCCAGGCCTGCACGAGGCTCAACCAGTCCAGCAAGCGCAAGCGCAGAGCGCCGCGCGAGTGGGAGGTCATCGGCGGCGCCGCCTCCGGCGGCGTCCCAGTGCGCGAGGACGGGCCGTCCGCGCCCGTGCTGCCCGAGGGCCTCGCCGCGGGGGCGTTGGTGGAGGAGCTGCAGCAGAGGGGGGGCCACGTCTGCTTCCAGAGGAGCAGATCACCAGCCCGAAGCAGTCAAGCAGCGGCGAAGCGGCCTGGCTCGCGTATAGTCCCACCAAACAATGTTCTAAGAACCTTTTGTGGTTCCCACGCAATGTTCTTAGATAGAACATTTCTGGTTGGGACTGTCTTATTCTATCACATCGGGTATATGTTCTAAGAACATTGTTTCTGTCATTCGGACATTTGTGGGTTCTGAGAACATTTCGTGGTAGGACTATAGGAATGCTGGGACGATCGGTCCCTGCTTAAAGCAGATCCTTATCCCTATGATTGGTATCTCCTTCTCTGGTTGAAGGTTTCAGTTCTGAAGGCACATCCCTAAGATGGTCATCGCCTTGAGGCTTGGCGATCTTAGGGGTAAGGATGAGCTCGAGGCTGGTTATCAAAGCGTGACGCAAACACACGCTTGCAGAGGTCCGCGCGGATGTCTCGGATCGGCCTTGGAGCCCCCTGGCGGCGGCTCCGGCGCCGCCCCTGGCGCGCTCCGCGCGCAAGGAAGGGGGGTGTCCAGCGCCGATCCGAGAAGTGAGCGCGGACTTCCGACAGTGTATGTTGATGCAATGTGCTGTTCCTCGGTCCTCAGTAAGCTATCTGGCGCGGGCCCCAGCAGGGGCTGGGCGCCCATGTCGTCCGGGGAGGGGCCGCTGCTACGGCCACTTCGGGCGCCCCCAGAGCCAGGCGAGCTCACGGCGCCGAGGGCGGCGGACCTGCTGCGGCTGCTGGCCGTCCGCCTGGAGGATCCTGGGGTCCAGGGCAGGATGAGGGAGCTGCTCCGCAGCCACCCTGGGAGGATGCGCGTCCTCGCCCCCTTTGCGCGCGAGCGCCGGGAGCTGCTGCAGAAGGAGTTCGACGCCGTCCTGCCCAGGTTCGGCTTTCCGAGGGGCAACCTGATGCAGCTCGACGTGGCCATCCAACCATTTCTGAACGTGGTCACCGGTGACGACGAGGTAAAGGCCCTGCGACGCCGGGTGCATGAGCTCATGATGCTTGAAGGGGTACAGTAAGCTTCGAGCCTGTGAGCGTTGCGCATGGCGTCCATGGCTTCCTTAATCCGAGGGGCTACGTGCACTGAAAGGAATTGCTGCTGGTCTGCTCTGGCTGGCGGGCATCGGCAGTTTCTGGTCCATTGTCCCATTATTTGGTGGCAGGGTCAGAAGTTCGATCTTCAGGGCAAGCATCAGAGAGATGCACTCACGTAGTTCCCTTCTGTTTGCGCGTACAGATGCGGGCCCGGGGTTCCAGTTTTCTTTAACTCGGTTTGCCTGCGCACATCGCAAAGAGCGCCCTTCCATGTGGAGGAGGAGAGGGGAGGTGAAGGAGAAGGCTGAGGTAGAGGAGGGGGAGGAGGAGGCAGAGGGGGAGGGGGAGGGGGAGGAGGAGAAGGAGAAGGAGAAGGAGAAGGAGGATAAGGACGAGGAGGAGGAGGAGGAGGAAAAAAGAGAGGCATGAGGGGCAGCGGAGACAGAAAACAGAGGCGGATGAGGAGGCAGAGGAGGAGGAGGAGGAGGAGGAGGAGGAGGGAGGAGGAGGAGGAGGAGGAGGGAGGGGGGAGGAGGAGAGGAGGAGGAGGGAGAGGAGGAGGGGAGGAGGAGGAGGAGGAGGGGAGGAGGAGGTGGAGGACGCCGCCTTCCCTTTGCTCGACGGCTGTCCCCTTCCGCGCGCCATACTCGGAGTTGGCTTGCGCGGGGGGGGAGGACCGAGCGGTTGCAGAGCCATCAAGTGAGCCCAGGGCTCCGTGAGCGGGTCGCTCGGTGTCCCGATCAGGAGAAGGAGGAGGAGGAGGAGGAGGAGGAGGAGGAGGAGGAGGAGGAGGAGGAGGAGGAGGAGGAGGAGGAGGAGGAGCAGGGGGGGGGGGAGGAGGAGGAGGAGGAGGAGGA